ATATGCGTTTTTGCTGCCTGTTGCAGCGCTCTAGCGCTGCACGGCAAAAACGCATAAAAAAAAAGAGGAACGAAGCAAGAGAGTAGAACATCATATGTTGTAAAAAGGATATAGAACATGTAGTGAGGACATGTGTGAATGCTGAATGCAGACTTTGCTGCCTGTGTTTCATCCCTAAGCTGCAAACATAGACAGTATTCGAAGTGGAGTGGGATGAGAATCGTCAGTGCAGCCCCCAAACTACTATGTGAAAGAGTTGATAACGAATTAGTAAGATAGGAGAAGAGGCTGAAAAGAAAGGAGGAAAAAATAAGTGATGACGACGACCTTGTTTGTTGGCCTGGGTGTGTGCCCACTACAGCTACACCTCCTACGACTGCGCAGGCCTCCAGCCCTCCTCGTCGCACCATACATGTACTTTCAAGTTTCATTTTTGAGCTGCTACCACTGGTATTCGGCATAATTGAGACTCACTCAAATCATCAGTGCCTTTTAGCGCAGAATGCGAATCGCTCAAATTATCCTATAATTTCCGTTTTGTAGGCATACACCTCTTCAGATGTTATGCGACCGGATACTTTATCTTTCATTTTCACTTAATAACGCAACCAACGTCCACTACTTGCTACCACATGTCCCAAGCATCGAATTTCAATTTCACTTACACAGTTATGTCGGGACGACCTATTAGTAACGTTAAAATCTGATATTAAAGCGCAGCAATTTTAAGCACTTTTTCTTTTCCATCCAGCCATTTTCAAAAAACAAGAAAAAAAATCAAAAATCAACCTGGTGGATGAAATCGATGAAAAGCTCAGCAGATTTTGGCGTTCCACGATCCGGCCAATCGATGTACTGGAAATGTCGCAGTGTCCTGGTATGCCCAGACTAAAAATTCATTTATATTAAAACAAAGTGCCATTCAAAAACAATCAAGAGACGGGCGGAGGACATCACTATAATTACCGCATATGAGTGATATTACTGAAATGCTCCCACAAGACAGGCGCAGCTATGTCAGGTCCTTCAATACCTCCAGCTGACAAGCATCGCCTTTAAAAGCATAAATTAATCGTTTTTTAAAAAATCTTACTCATGTTCATGTACAGGAGTATTAAGAGAGAGTGCTTCAACTTTTCATGCAATATTTTCGTGTATTTGTTGATGGCTGCTGTGCAAAAGAAATGGTACCTGAGTATCAGTAATCCTGAATTCCCGTAAAACATACTGCGGCATATTGTATTCGGCAACTGGCTCAACGACAAGACAACCAAACCGCGCACCCATTTCTGCTGGCCAATATTCGCAACACTTCTCCTAAACAAGGCCAACAAACAGCTCAAAGAATATGAAGATGAACGGCGAGGAAAAGACCGAAACGAAACATGCTGGGTCGAAAAAAAAAGGGTCAAGCCCTGCTGCTACATGAATACATTTCAGCAAGGCCTTACCAAAAAAGAATTCCACGTGCCCACGCATACCCGGGGGATGAGTTTGAGCCCATTAGTGTACTTGAACGGGAAGCATCTCTTTAAAATTCCAGCCTTCTAACTCCTCAGGTTCCCGAGCTAGCAAGTTTCTCGGAGAAAATTTCATGAGCCCGCACGTGGAAACCACGCACATCGAGGGCTGGCTTTGAGTTCATTAATACCTACTTGAACGGGAAACATCCCCTTGAAACTCCAGTCTTATAGCTTTCAGGTTCCCAAGTTCCCTGCCAAAAAGTTTGGCAGGCCTACGTGGGTATCACAAGGGTAAGGGTGCCCATTTCGGGGAATGAGACTCGCACGTGCATGTAGATTAAGCTCCCAAAGTTTCAGCTCTGTGGCTTTTATTGGTTTTGAGATGAAAAATCGGTACAGACGCACACATAGACACACAAACACACACAGAGACAATCCCTCGTCAATATGCATTTTCTGCATTGCACAGATGCAAAAAACGCATAATAAATGCTTCCTTGTGAGCCCCAGACTAAGATTATCCAATTTTTACTATATGAAATTCGTTGAATAAAAGCTTACTCTGCCCACTTCAACTGTACGAATGAGCATCACAATGATGGACGAGTGATGTTCCCAGATCATACGCCAAAAATCGCCCACTGTATGCGGCATCGGACCTTGTGTTGCTATATAGGCACCACGTTGCCTGAAATTTTTAATTGCTACTCCGGAAAAAAACACAAAATATAAGACAGAGTACCGCACCGGCTAGTCTAGTGCGCGCTGCTATTTATTCAGTCCTGCCTCACTAGACGGACATCTTGCGACTCAGATGTTCGTTTCGTCCTCTGGAAAAACTACCAAACCCAACGATTTCCTCAGCAGAACATTTGACAAGACTTTACTCCTTTCCGAGCTGTCCATGCTGTTAGGCTGATCGTTGTCATCTCTTTGACTAGAAAGTTGTCACTCGAAAATTACGATGAGTTGCTCCTTGTTTATCGCTAATTTCACACCATCCTCATGACGTCGCAGAAGTGCATGTAGCAGCAGTTTGAAAATGTTAATAATGATAATTATGATAATGATAGTGACGACAATAATAATGATAATAATAATGTTTTGTTGAAAATTTTGCTAAATCTAAATTATTATCAATATAAGTCGTCCTGGAGGGTATCAAATATACGAGGTTTCTACGAAAATAAATGTGAAAGCGTAAATAAATGCGAAATAAATAGAAACGTAAATAAATGTGAAATAATGGCAATCTTAGCAGCGCCCAATAGCGCGAAAGAAGGTTGCAAGGCTACAACAGACGATCCAGAAACTAAAGCCCTCCAAAGTTTCAACGAGTCAACAATGCATATCATTAACAGCCCAAGTAAAAAGTCCCAGAGATCCTGTTTTCTGTTTAAAAAACCTGCGCTCGAATAATTAATCAAATAAATAAATACCTGTAACCATCGATCCAGGATGCATTGATGAAATCAGAACCATCTTCACCAGGAATGCTACGAAGGACGACCCGTGATGAATCGTACGGTACCATATTGACCAAGCGATTTTTCGGCCGATTTACTGGCAAGTT